CTGAACCCTTTTACGTTGTTCACATCCTAAGCAGATGCTCCCCCCCGTTATATCCCTGTCCCTACAGCGCTTTGCTCCACCAGGCCTTTCCAGGTTACTCCATGTGTAAGTGGACATGGAAGGATACTTGGCGTCGGGCTGCCCTTTCTTGCCGTACGCCCACTCGGGTTCAATTTCCAGCTGAGCCTTCTCTCCTTTGCTCATCGTTAAGAGAGCCTCATCCCACTGAAAAGACAGAACCAACCAACTCAGACGACCAACAAAAGAGCACAGCAGTCCTGCAGAGCTGCAGAAGCAGCGCACGTCCCGTGCTTTTCCGGCGTGCAGCGATGCACTCTCCAGCGGGCTCACCCAGCCCAGAGCGGGTGCCGCGCAGGAGCTTCATGTTCTTTTATTTGTGGAAACACGACCCCCCCTCGGGGGGTGTTCTCCCTGCTCCCACGCGAGCCCGTGCTGTACCTCACAGCGCAGATTTGCGCTTTTCCGTTGTGACGACACCCACAACCCATGCGGTAGCGTGCGTGTTTCTGGGAAGCCTCTACAGTTTCCGAACGCAGTTCACAGTGGAGCACCACACATGCGGCACCGCGAGGGTTCTCCCCCCACCACCCCGCAGCGTCAGTGGGTTAGCGTCTGTCCAGGGCTGGTGCTCAGACTGACTCTATTTCTGTGCTCGTCCCCCTTAAGGGCTGGCTCGCACTGCCCAAAGCCGGCGTTCGGTTCAGCTGCTCCTGCGCTCCTGGCCACGAGCCCAGGGACACTCTCCCCTTCCCAGTCCAGTCCAGTCCCCCCTGCAGGCTTGTTTCCTGCACAGCAGCAGCACATAAGGTTATGCTGGGTTGCGTTTGTTTTGGTTTTTGAAGTCAGGTAAGCCTAAGAGCCTTCTCGCGCTCCTATCTCGTGCAGCCAGCCACCAGTGTCACCAGTGGCTCCGCAGCAGCGCGGCAGAGTTAAGCACCTCATCTTTGCACAGCAGCTGGTCTCTCCCCGACACACCGAGCTCACACCAGTGCCTGTGACGTCCAGGTGTAAACCCACGGATGGGTGTGCACAACACTCGATTCTTCTCCTGAACGCTTTGAGCCTACCTCGATCTTCCCCTCGCACAGCTCCTGCCTGCAGCACGGCAGCACTCGGTGCCGCACAGGGCAGAGCAGTTACAGCATCAAGGCGGAAACTCGCTTCGGCGCATGACAGCAACCGGAATTTGGGAGTTCTGGCACCCAGCTCAGAGTTAACGGATGAACTCAACTACACATCAAGAGGCACCCAGGCAAGTACAAAACAGATGCTGAGAGAAAACAATCTGAGAGCCCAAAGCACAGCCAGCACATGCGGTGATCAGCACAGCCCCGGCAGCCCGATAACCTCGTCTATTCGGCAAAGCACCCGACAGACGCGCGAGAGGCTGTGCTGCTCCCGGGGACACGCAGCTGTGACTCTGCTTTCCGCACGCCACTTAAGCAGAGGAGTGACGCTGCAGACGGATGAACGCATCCATGGAGAATAAGCAGTACATCCTGTGGATGTAAATGCTCTCCGCTTGCCTTTCTACCTCCACAAGAAACAACAACAGCAGCTCAAAACGTGCAGTCCAGTCATAAATCCTGCAGAATGAAAACTCTCTTTGGGTTCTGAGGGAGTCGTTAATGGTTTACTTACACCTCTGATTACTTTTCCTACGCCAACTTTGAAACTTAAAGGTTTGGCTGCTTTTTTCTTCTTTGAACCTGAAAGACAGTTTCGTATTCATTTGCTGTAACATCACAGCAGCACATACCATACTTGTATTTAAAATTACTACTACAATCATGTGTTATATAAACATCTGTTCTTATAATACTCTTTTTAGCCCACTGTCAGATTTTTATGGGAAAATTCAGTGCTGTGCACTAAAAATATTATTAAACGTTCACATTGCACCATGAGCTAAAGTTGATAAGCATCTTTCACACACTGATCCAATGAACCTAAAAGACTCATTTCTGAATTACTAAAGTTGATGGTACAGGTCATAAACACATTAGTGAAACAAAAAAGGTCAACAGGGACAGTGTGTGATACAAGAATTCCAGTGCATCACAGACAGTGTTCCGGCAACAGCCCCGCTGGTCCCCTCCGTGCTGGACATCACTGCTGGAAAAGCATTTCTAGTATTGCAGAATCTCACATACCTAAATCCTCCCACCGAGAAACTGTCACAAAAATACCAGCACTCTGCTCTGCCATGGATACGGTACACCAAACTACCTGAAACCACTCTCGTTCCAGTGCCTCCACGTTTAAGGGTTTATTCCAGAAGCACACCAAGACGTGCCTATTTAGAGAAGTTAACTGCACTGTTGGTGGTCGAGTTCCACAGATAAGGGCAGCTCCCTGAGCAGGAACGCTCTTTCCTCCAAAGTAGTTTCAGTACCGATCAAATCACCACATTTCACACTATCTATGGCCTTGAGAATGCCAAACGTGAGCTCTGGCAAGATGCAGCAGTGTCACTTTACACCAGCCAGTCCTAAAATACCGCCCTGCATTGCCTCACGGAAAATCGGGCTCCGGGAGCGGGCAGCAGGGACACCCCCGGTCAGCTCAGCAACACAATGGCAAAAGCCGTTTGTCAGGACCCCCGCCGTGCCCACCTTCCAGAAGCAAATGCCTGCCCGAGTCCGCTTCATGAGTCCGGCCAATTCCCCTGTCTGCATTTGCAACCACAGCCAAACGCGATGTACATAACCTTACTTGTTTGAATATTGGTATCGAAGACTGTTCCATCCTGTAGTTTTCCTGTATACCAGCAATGAACAGTGTCCCCTTTCTTCGGAAAGTTGGTTTTATCACCCTTCTTTAAAATTGATTTCGTATACTTTGGCGGCCCCTGCATTTATAAAAACAGAGTTACGAGTGCTGCATTAACTAGTTTCAGACCAGCTACATTCAGGACAGAACCACTTAGCTCAAGGCACTGAATGAACACACAGAGTGTTGGTGAATGGCACATTTTGAAGTGCTCACGGTTATCACAGTGCTGCAATATTTGGGGAAAACACGCGCTGGATGGCCGCACAGCCCTGCGGTGTATCCACCACTCCTCCCAGTTTGGTGTCATCAGCAAAATTCCCAGTTTTGTGTCATCAGCATCCCAAAGACGAGCTTTGGGAGAGATGCCCAGAGCCCTTCATTACTACCTCACGTTACAGAAGCTGCATAACGTTACGGCACGGCACAAACACCAGACTTCTTGCCGCAACCAGATTTTTGAAGACCTGGTTCCTCTGACAGCCCCACGAGACCACCCAAACGACACGAGGCGAGAGCACCGACCTCCTCCACGGCCTCCTCCGCCTTCGCCGCTTTCCCCTTGGCCTCCTCCGCCTTCGCCGGCTTCGCTTTCTCCGCCGCCTTCTCCGCTCCGTCCGTGCCCTTGA